ATTGAAAACATTCTCAAAACACATAAAGAATACAACAACTTCAAAAAACAATTACGAACTAAACACATCCTCTATCTTGAACAACTAACCTCATTTGATAACTCTACACTTTTAGACTGGAAACACATTTCACCAAGACTTGAACAAATCCCTACAGGACATAAACCAAAATGGTTCACAATATTAGAAGAAAAAACCATTACACATTCCCTTACTAGAAAACTTAATTCTAATCTGAGTCTTTCACAAACTAACTTCTTTTTCTTTACAACTGGACATTACAATTCAAAATTAAAATCTTGGCTTATTACTGTTGATTACAATAGTGAACAATTGATAATAAGAAAGGCATGTAAATATAACCAAAACAACAACACCATATCCATTACACACTGGACAATCAAAGCAAATGCACCCAATACAAACCTCTATCTACTCTCATCAGTTAATTGTATACCATGTACAGAATGCTTACATAACTCTAACAGAATACTAAACTACTGTATATTTGATATTTTAGCTATTCTTTCTACAAAATTCTTAGGAAGAAAACAACAAAATCCCACAAACAAACTTAAGCTTAACACAAATTATACAGATCTAGTATACTCAATTGCATTATGTAACCCTACAAGAATTCCTATACTCCCATTCATTATCTTATCATATGATCCAATCTCTCTTATTTTTCATACCAACTCATTATCTATTAAATTACAACAAATTGCAAACCAAAATGCCCAATGTACCAACCTTATTTTTTATACTGATGAATCTGTAACCAATATTACTACTGATAGATGCTCAATGAATATTGAATGAATACAAATACATAACAATACTATTATTGAAACTTACTCTTCTCAAATTAAATTCTGGCTATTATCATACAAAGCTGAGCTAGTAGCTATTCTATCAGCTATATATACATGCTCTTAAAACAACAATATTCAAATCTATACTGACTCACAATCTGTAATTTCCAAATTTAACAAAATTACTAACAACATAATACTATAACATAAACAATACTCTTATAACTATTGGCCAATATGGCATACAATTATTAATTTAATTAGATTATACAAATACAACATTACACTTCACAAAGTACCAGCCCATAAAGACAACATATTCAATAATAAAGCAGATAAGCTTGCATCAAACTACAACTCAACAAATTTTCTAGATATACAATACAACAACATCTATAACACTTCATATACTATATAATATAATCAATATACTATTGAACAACCTACCTGACAAGCAATCAAAAACATCTGCAATGCACACATAATAGCTATATGGTCATCTCAAAATCAGATAAACAACATTATTTCTCTATTCTCACAAATTAACTAGAAAGGAACCTGACTATATCTAAATAACAATATTAACAAAACTAGCTCATATACAAACTTTATACTTAACAATAGTAAATCCTTTAAAATTAAACTACAACTTAACATACTATCTACTCTTTTCCATCTTCACAACTTATACCTAGAAGCAATAAATAGCAATAGCTATATCACATATCATACATCAGAACACTTACTACATTGGATTCTTTATCAAATACTACACTCTTTACTAATCTTATTCATGAAACAATAACAGAAACAATTACTCATATAACTGATATTACTAGCACTCAAATTAATGAACTACAAGAAATACTTTCACAACACAACAGCCTTTTATTTAGCAACATAACTCCACAACAAACTAACATTTATACAACATTATAAGGATATGTGTCTAATAGCCTTATTTCATCAATTAGACTATTTACTCAATTACAAACAGAAGCAAAAAGTATTACTACTAAACTCCTACACAAGCTGTTTCAAAAAGTTTATGAACAAATATGGAAACCATATTGTACAAAACTGACACAATAGAAAAATAATTACAACATCTTACAGTATACCAAAAATCAACAAAGAAGATCTACACGAACTAATTACAATATTATATACTATGTCAACAAACATCAATTACACAGTACAACTTGCAATTTATGTGGACTATCAAGCTTAAAACATATTGATTCAAATACCTGCTCACTACTTAGTTATGCTCTATGCAAAATTAATTTATAGCTCGATTATTAGATACTTTATAGCTACTCTACTAACAACATTTTATACTATCAAATCTAGATAAGTTTTAATCATTCTAGTAGGTTTAGATTGCAGATAAATTAGATAGATAACAGCTAGTTTCTTTCTATAGTCTGAGCTTTACTCTTGTAACAAATTTGTAATTGGAATGGATTTTGTAATTTATATCCAGAGAAGCCTCTAAAGGCATTTTTAACAAATTAATAAAGATATGAGCAAAACCTCATCTTAACTCCAAAAAAAAAAATAAATAAGGTTTAATACTATTTTTCTAGTTATTTTAAAGTTTAGTTGCTATAAAATTTTTGTAAATCTTGTTAAATAAAAGATATATCTTGTTATTTTTTATGTATTCATTAAATTGAAGTCTAAATTAGTCAAATAATCTGTTACTAATTTAATTCATAATAGTTTATAAATGTAATATCAATTTTTTTTCTCTGTTACTAATATATTGTGTTGTTTTTTATAATATCTAGGACCTCTGTAAATAAATTATTAAACTTTGTTTAATTTTATAGTCTAATTGCAATAATTTATATAAAATTTCTAAAAAATATTGTCTCTATAAACCAAATTTGTTGTTATTATTTTTGGGATATAATTTGAAATAGGTTTAGTAAAAAATTGTATCTAATAAGTTTTTTGATATTCTTATATGAGGTTAGTATATCTTTGATTCTTAAATAAGTTTAAATTATATTGAAAGACTCTAGTTTATCTTATCTAATTTCTTTTAAGACTAATTGTGCATATTTGTATTATTCTTTTTTTTTATTATTATTGAAGCTGTTTAAAGTTTTTTTGTTTTTTTCTAAAAGACTTTTAGTAATTGTTTGACTATATGATATCTTTTTTTATATTTGTTATTCTAATATTATATTCACTAAATAAGATTTTTCTTTTTTTTTATTACTATTGAAACTGTTTGGAGTTTTTTTTTTTTAGAAAACTTTTAATAATTATCTAACTATATGATATATTTTTTTGTATTTATTCTTCTAATATTATATTTATTAAATAAGTTTCTTTTTTATTATTATCTGTGTTTGTTATGTCTAAATCTATTTCTATATTTGGTATTTACTTATTTATATCATCTTTTATAAGTATACTAAGCTTAAAAACTGGTTCTGATTGAATTAGTTTGTTTATATTTTCATTTTATTTTTGTATAAAAAGAATTATGTTAATTGTAATAAGGTTCTAGACCAGAATCTGATTAATTTATAAATTTATGAGAATATTTTTTTTTATTAGTTAATATAAATTCAAAATTGAATTTAATATTGTTTTTATTTCTATTAGTAATATTATGTCTTAAGAATTCAGAAATAAACTTGAATTTTTTTTTCTTAGAAATTTCTTCTATTATATTTTTTCTAGTATCTGTTTAGACAAAATAATAGTGTTATAATTGATTTGTATTTTTTTTTTATATTTTGTTTATCTATTATATTGTTGTTATTAATGTATATATAAGCAGATTATGCTTTTTTCTTTTGAGTTTCAACCAAGTATGTTCTATTATTATTCTTTTTATTACTATCATTATTTATTTTAGTTGCCAACATAGTCAACAACAAGATTGTAAAAAAGACTGAAATACAGAAAACTGTTTCTTTGTTTTATTTAATCTTTAGAAGCTTTGCCTCTTGTTATTATTGCAAGTTATTCTTAATTATTATATTTAATTATAATATTCTAAATATATCTAGTTGCAATTTGTTGTTTTTTTGTTTACTATAAAAAAATGATTTACAAAAAAAAGTTTTCCAAATTTTATTGGCAACTTTACTTAATGAGTGAACCATGATTTCATTAATAAAACTTTTAATAATCTTTATATGAATGAAAATTTTTGATGGGAATGTTGTGATGATTAAAATTAAGTAATATTTGTATGATTTATAAATATTATGCAGTTTCATGATCAGTTTTAGAAGCAATTTACAGCTTAGAAAAGCAATTGACTAATTAAATAATTATTATGCAGTTTCATAAACGGTTTCATAAGCAATCTTACAATTTGCGAAGATCGAAGATCAGATGTAACGTAATACAATCATGAAATTCAAAACAACCGTTCGTTTTGTCAAAAATCGCCTATTTCTCGAAAAGTTGCATAAAGAACCACTTTAGCGCACTAATAAAAGTTTTTCTTGACCGATTTTACTATATAATTATCCAGTTTTTAAAATGTTAACCCTAACACGAATAAATTTGCTGCGTCACATGATCGACATTACCTGACACATTCGTGTTTGTACAGGCTTTAAGCTTGTATAAATGATCATCACTTTTTTTTTTTTTTTTTTTTTTTTTTTACCTCCCGGGACTTCTGATCTAGTTGTATTGCTGCAAATCCACAAGCGATGTGTGATATCAGGTATGTACATACGTGATAATTTAAAGCCGAAGTAGGAATAGAAAAGTCGATGATTACATGAAAGAGCTTCAATTTCTTTTTATTATTTTTACTAGTTTCGTCACCCTTCGCCAGTTTCGTCACCTTTCGCCAGTCTCGTCACCTTTCGCCAGTTTCGTCACCTTTCGCCAGTTTCGCCATTTCGCCTTTTTAATTTTTTTTTGGCGAAAGTCGAAACCAGTTTCAACTTTCGCCAGTGGCGAAATCCCTAGGTTTCGTCTAACAACTCTATCCCTGACCGATCAAACCGAGTTAACTCCATATAATTACTCTACAGAACTATTAAAAGAATTAATAAATATGAAGGAAGCCCGATCAAAACGGAAATCATGGACAGAAGCCGAATTAAGGGAACTAGTGTCGCTAGTGGAACAGCATGGCACACGCTTTACAAAAATTCAAAAGCATTTTTCAAATAAAATACGTACCGTGGCGGCATTAGCTACAAAATATAAGATTTGGATTGCATCACTCAACAAAGATAAAATTGAATCCGAATGGACTCCACAAGAAGATCACCAATTACGTATAGGCATATTAACATTTGGAGTTGGCGAATGGGGAAAAATCTCGGAATACATGAAAACTAAGAATATTTCACAAATTAGCCGTAGATGGCAAAAAATAAGTCAGACAAGACGCGGTAGGTGGACTGCTGCAGAAAATGCGATGCTAGAGAAATTGCATAACGATCATGGCAAACAGTGGGCACAATTCGCTGGTATTCTGGGTCGTCCAGCAAGGAATATTAGAGTACATTATAGTTTTCAGTTTGAAAAATGGTCAAAACAGGAAGATGAATTGTTGACGAATAGTTTGAAAGAGTTTGGATTTGATTGGGAAAAAATTTTAGAAAGATTTCCAAATAGAACTATTAGAAAACTTAAATCAAGGGTTGATAAATGTACTTCAATTAATCCGTTTGTTAACCATGGATCTTGGACCGCTGAAGAACAAAAATTATATGAAAAAGCTATTTGTGCGCATGGAAGCAAATGGTTAGACGTGGCATTGGTTGTTAAAACTAGAACTCCTAAGCAATGTGCGAATCACTATACACATTACGTTAAAAGTTTTTGTAGCGATCGCGAAAAGTTACTTGGAACTTACAAGGCTAAAAGGCGTAGGAGGAGAAGAACGAAATTCGATCATCTAGAAAATATAGAGTTAAATGAGACAAGAATGCTTAAAATATGGGATTAATTTAATCTTATCATATGTGTTCATAAGTGCGGTGAAAGGATTTGAATAATGAAATATCGAATTTATCATTGTTTTTTAATTGCTTGATGGTTTTATTTCAAATCTGATGTTTTTAGCCTTGTTTAATATTCAGTTCATTGCATTCATAATCATCAACAACGTTTGTAACAATGTGCATCAAGAATACTTTGATTTAACTGGATTTCTAAGTTCTCTGAAAATTCAAATACAGTCAGACCTTTCTATAGTCACACTTGTTATAAGCACGTCATACAAAAAACCGTTTTATAAGCACATCTATTTAAAAACCAATTATATATAAACGTATTAAAAAAAAACTTTTTATAAGCATATTTTAATAAAAAATCTTTTTATAAGCACACATATCTTTATTCTGAAGATGTGATTATAGAGGGTCTGATTGTATAACTAATAATTGAAATAACAAATTGCAGTGGACTAATTATATTGAAGGTTTCAATTAGGCGAAACAACATTTTTTGTATACTCACAAACTTTAACCAATTTTTTATCAATTTAGATGCTAAAGAAGTTACAAAATAAAAACCTATATAAGTTGTGTTTTTTTGTTAGAATTTTTGGGCTGTTTAAATTATGTAATTATTTACAAAATTTTTAAATATTTTTTTTATCAATTTAGATGCTAAAGAAGTTATAGAATAAAATCAATTTGTGTTTTTTTTTTGCTGTTTAGAGATTATATAATTATCTACAATATTAAGTATTTATAATTGTAATTAGCTTATTTTAATATTTTTACCTAATATACAACTTTTAAATTATATACATAAGAGACGTCAAGAAAACCAAACTTTGAACTTTTAAGTTTATTGTTTACTATTTACTAGGCTTAGCTTTAACCGGTAATATATTGTATACAGTATAATTAAATATATATATATTTAGTTAAGTTTAGTAAATAGTAACCTAAAAGCTCAAAGTTTGTTTTTTATATATTAGGTAACAATAATAATTCAAAGATTAAAACAATAAAATTTTTAAGAATTTTATCATTTTGCGCATATGCATTATAACTAGGATTAAGGATACGGTAAATTTTTGAGGATGCCTTTTTGGATATGCTTTTGCCTAGAGCATGCTTCTTGTACCCCGGGCATGCCCCTTATGAATTATATGATTGGCTGATTTATGTCGATCAAAAACTAATTATTAACCAATCAAATCAATTAATATGCATTATAGTAAAACTAATAACGTTTTAGTCTTTATTAATTACATTTTTTGAATTATATTCATGTCTGCTTAGATCTTTACACCTACTTATTCAGCTTTAGTAATTTAACTTTTATACCTGTTTGGGAAATATACTAAAAAAATTACTGCTTGAAATAAGTATCAAACAGTAGTTTTTTAGTTTATTATTATTTATTCAAATCTAGCAAACATACATTTATTATTAAGCAATAAGTATTAAGATTATTAAATAGCAAAGGTTAAATAAATGAATAAAGAGTAAATAATAGATAAATAATAGAAAAAAATTTGTCATTATTTTACTTTATATCTGCCAAATAATAACAGCATAATAGCAATATAACAACAGAATAATAATAAAATAATAAAAGATTTGTTGATATTAGTAATATATTAGCAAAATAATAGAACAGTTCTATTATTTTTAACTTTTGAAACTAAAAGTAAAATAATAAACTATTTTATTATTTTGCTAATATGTTACTAATATCAACAAATCTTCTGTTATTTTATTGTTATTTTGCTATTATACTATTATTATTTTATTATTATTTAACAAATATAAAGTAGAATAATAACAGATTTTTATTATTATTTATCTATTATTTATTTTTTATTTATTTGTTTGATATATATATATATATTATATATTCAACATTCTTTTAAAACTAAAACTAAATATTTTTTAATTTTGTATTAAAAATTATATAAGATTTTAATATTTATAACTTATTTATAATAGTATTTAGGCCAAAAAAAATATACAAATCATTAACTCCTTTTATCGATCACTTGTATTAAATTCTGCTATAAACAATTAATTATTATTTAATATTTTATTAAATAAACTACTTTTAGATATTTAAGTAAAATTATTTCTAATATAATTTTATACTTAGGTGATCTAATTATATATCTCTAGATCTCTTATTCATTAAGATATTTTTATTAAATATAAAAACACTTCTATTCAAATTATTTTAACATTTTACTAATTAAACAACTCTTGTATCTTAGAACAAAAATAAAGAGTTCATTAACAGTTTTATTTTAATATATAATTTATCAAAAACTGTCTAAAACTGATCAATTTATTGACAAAATATGCTTAAACTCTCTTATAAAATTTCTTTTTATTTTTTGCAAATTTTTTTTTACTTTTTTGGAAGGTCTGCTCTGGTTTGTCCTATCTAAAATCACTCCAAACAAGATTACTAATCAATATTATACAATTTATTAATTACAAATTTGTATTTTTACAAGTTTACACAACTTTTTTGTTTAATGTCAATTTTGACTTATAAATAGATCTGCAAAGTGTCCATACTTTTTATAATACCTTTCTATTTATTACATCTTATGTTTGTCATATTTTTCTAATTGTCATATCTCTTATTTATCATACTCTTTATTTGTCATCTCATCTTATTTGTTACACTCTATATTATTGAAATCCTATTGGACTTAAGAATCTTAATATCAAATCTGTTTTTATTTTTAAAACAACTATGTCTACATTACTTAATCAAGATCTAGACCAATATAATTTAGATTATTTTCTGGGTAAATATGATAACTGTTTTAGTGCCATGGCTAAAGAAAATAATTTACAACAAATTAAACCTATTCAATTTGCTGTATACCCAACCAAATGTAATAAAAAAACTAAAATTCATTATTTTAAACCATCTCATCAACCTTCTATTGTTTAATATTTCTGCAAAACTTATTATACTCTGTTTATATCTCATTATTACTAAGTTTTCTTAAGATCTACAACATCTTCTCCAATTTCTAGATCTGTTATTCCTATGGATATAACTCTAAATCAATTCAAAAGAACTAAAGATACTATTTCTCAATTACCTATAAGTAAAATTTCTTCATTTCTATTCAATCATAACAACTTATCTGTTGCCATCTCTTTAACTGTTACAAATCTTACACCTAATACCATAGTTGTTAAAGCTCATACACAATATATCCATATTTGTATTATTTGTCATAAATCAAATATTCTATATGTTTTTTTAACTAATAACAAATACTCTTTTAATCCTACTGCTAAAATCTTATATAGATACCCCACCCATCCTAACTGTATTTTTAATCTCAAGTTAAAACTATTAATTCAAACTAAACCTCTTAAGCAACAATAATGATTAGTCTTCTTTACTACTAAATTTGCTCTTATCGAAAAAAAAAAATCTAAATCTTTAAAAAATTCTTTCAACTTCTTAAGAAAAAATAATCTACTTAGCAAAAAATAAAAATCTCACAACAAACAAAAGAAAATCTTCTTAGCTGGACTTAAAAATATCTAATTATAACTAAAATGAAACTATTTACTAACTTTAATACATTATTATCTTAACAAATCTTTAATTTTCTTAAACCTTATCTCATCAATTTTATATCAGAAAAAATTACTAAACCTACAACTGAACATAAATAAGCATTTAAATAGAGTTTTAAATATTTTATTAAAACTCTTACTGGTGCACAACCTAAGTTCTTTACAGATATTATTTATCAACACAATCCTACTATCAACAATTTAATTATTATACTCTTTGACATTTTATACTCAACCCTTAAAATGCTTCTTCACAAATTTACTATAACTCTTTTTACTAAAATTAATTATTCTAAAATACTTTTTTTATACAAATCAATTCCTTCTTATACTCTACAAAATTGTTTTCAAGTAATAATTAATTTGGCAAAAATTCATCTCTATCTACAAAATGAATATTAAACAATTGACCTTACTAAGTTCTTCAAAACAGTTAATATTTTACCAATATGCTTTTTACTTTACTATTTTATTAATAAAGATGCTATCAATCAACCTCTGTTTAAAATACAAAATGATGAAAAATACAATATCAATATCTCACTTAATATTTCTAAACAAGAATTTCAACAAACCTTTCATATTTCTTTACTTAAAAAATACAGACCTAATCTTGAATCATGGTTTAAATCTTTCTTTGCTAATTACAAAAAACAATTTATCAACATTAATGAAACTAAAACCTTTAATTATATTAAATATAAAATTGCTACTAAACTTGCAAAATCATACAAGAGACTACTTTCTTCAAATTTTAAAATAACTTTAATTAACTTTTTTAAAGAATGATTATTATTTTGTATAAAAGCTACTCTATTTCACATTTAAATTTGTTTATATAGCAAAGATAATCTATGTACTATTCTTCCTTCTGATACTGAACATAACTTTGAAAACTTGTTTACCAATTTCTTCAATTTATTTTTTAAAAAATTTTCTACTATTTTATTAAATAATAATTTAGTTAAATGGATTTAGTCAAATTTTGATTTTTCTATCTTTACAAAAGACCAAAAATATTAGGCTACTTTTCAAAACATTATACCTTTACTTTTGCTTTACAAACTTGTTGATGAAGCAGAAATTTAATTTTCTAATAACAATAATACTGTTAAAAACTCTAAGCATCATGATTTTTATTTCTATTCTTATTTTCATATATTTCTCAGAGCTGCTGCTAAGAATGATGAAATTAATAATCTTAATAAACATAAGGTCATTAACAAAATTACAACAAAACCAGTTAATATACATTTTCTTATCCAAGTAATTACTTCTATATTCTCAAATAACTAATAATTTCAATATCAGAAATTCTTGAAATATACAAAACTACAATTTATTTGCAAGTTCAAAAAATACTTCAAGACAAATTTAAAATCAAATTTCAATTTTTTAAAAAGTTTAA